GTGGTTATTTGTCTCTTGTTTGATACGTCATTGCCAATGCTTTCTCTAGTTTGTAGTTCTCTTTTGACTCTTTTGATGACGTGTTTTGAAGTTTTAATTTTTAGGTGATTCATTGGATAACTTTTGGAAGCAGATCACCAGGTCTTTATTTATAATCTGCCCTAGTCTGGATGCGCCACTGAAATCTTTGCAGCTCGGGTAACTGCTTATAGCAATTTCCAGCATTATAGCAACATGTAAGCTACAACAGTTCAAAAAACTGACAGATGGTGGTGGTGTTCTTTAGCTTCTTCTTATTCACTAACTTAAATGTGTTCATGTTTCCAGCAGTCATAAGCACATGCCTAGTAGCACAGATGTAAACTCTTCCTACCACTCTTTCATATGTGTGGCACATTCAGTCTTAACACTTTCACAACGTTCACTAGATGTTATGGGTCCAGATAGTTCCCCAGAAGCGTACAGCAAGAGAAGAGACATTAGGATAGTTAGGTTTTGTGACAATTTGACTGGACCAGGCTTCTCAGTAGTTTGCCAGTTGAGAACTTCTCCATGATGTGATCTAACATAATTAACTCCATGATGGGATATTTTGTGAGAAGCCAAGCAATGGTGGGGAGATTAGGGTAGAGTGCAGTCATCTCTTACTCATGTTACAACCCTAATGATGTTTCCTAGGAGATATGACCGACTTCATAGATAAGTAGACACTGTGGAAAGCTTCTTCACTTACTTCTTGCTTGCCAACGTCCTGTATCTGGCTCATTCACCTCTGAGTCTTTGGATTCGAGCCAATAGCCTGCAATATTGTCTGCTGACCCTAGGAGCCATCTGACCTGCTATTTGATCTGAGACCTTGGATTCATTGGATTCTGAGCTACAATCTCACCTGCGGGCCTTGAGATTCATTCACCTTTGCAGCCATCAACCTGTGGTCTTCCTGGCTTATCAGCTTCACAAGCTAGGTGGTACAGGCGAAACTTACTGTTTAATGGAGAAACTTTCAGCTTAACCTCTGACCCAAACGTGAATCAAATTGGATTTACCCTCTTCTACATTTAATGTAAACCATTTTGTTAATATAAATCAACCTCTCTCTCCATCCACCTATCTACCATCTACACACATGTGCACACACATATATATATGTATATATCAGCCTGGATGGCATAGTGGTTACATATTGGGTTGTTACCTTCAAGGATAGCAGTTTGAAAGATGAGGCTTTCTTCTCCCATAGAGAGTTGGTCTTGGAAACCCACAGGGACAGTATGGAAGCTTCCTATAGGGTTGCCATGAGCCAGAATTGACTCGTGGCAGTTTTTATATATACATACACACACATATATACATATACATGTGTATATATGTATATTGGTTTTGCTTCTCAAGAGAAACCAGCCTAAAAAAGACACCAATGTAATGAGCAGATTGGTGAATACACCCAACTAGGAAGAGGGTATAAGGACCACTAGGGCCTTATCATCAGGGGATGTGTCTTCCTTTGGAGTCACTTAGTAACAAGGGATTTGAGAGGCAACTAAATTTCTGAAGAACAATGAAACAAATATATACCTGAGAATTATCTCAACCAAAGCCCAAAAAAATGAATGTATTTATTCATCCAGTTTTAAAATGTCGCATGTTGAGGTTGGCTTCTGGGGTGTATATTAATTCCCTGGCCCTTCTGCTTTACTGTATACATAGCCAAAGCAGCTTTCCATGGTTGCAGACGCAGTTGCCGGGCACAGAGGTACAGATATTAGGAGCGGAGAGTTGTCTAAAGCATACTGAAATAGATAAAGACAAGATCGATTTCTCTGGACACCTACTCAGCAGACTCTCATTGGCTAAGACCTTTCCCCTGTGTCAAGGATACATTCAGCTAGGAGACAAATGGATGGTGACTGCCCTGTTCCACACTGTAATGGGTTACGAGACAAGTCTTATGATGGAACTATTGAGTAGTATTGAGTAGTACACGGTGGAATCAGCAGTGTGCAGAGAAGCACTGACATGATGTGTACAACTGCACATCTGGACATGAGTCTTATGAAAAACTTCAGCTCATGAGGCAGCATGTTCACTGTAATCAATTTTTGTATTAAGAACACATACAAAATGTATGTATCAAAAAAATTAGTGCATCCATCTCTATAAGTTTATATGTTAAAGAACTGTAAATGGTTGCCATAGGGATGTAGTTAAACTTTTTGCTTTTTTATTTTCTGATTTTTTTGGTGTTGGTGCAAACATGGACTGGTTTTTTAATAATACTACTCCCCACCAAAAAAGTAAGAAAGAAAAGCCCACCGAGTTGATTCTGATTCTTGTTGTTAGGTGCTGTCCAGTAGTTTCCACGTCTAGCAACTCCGGGTACAACACGAGGAGCCGTTCGGGTGGCATCCTCACGATTGTTCTTATGTTGGAGCCGATTGTTGCAGCTGTTGTGTCAATCCCTCTTGCCGAGTGTCTTCCTCTTTTCCACTTGCCCCTCTGCTCAATCAAGCATGATATCCTTGTCCAGGGATTTCTCTCTCTTGATAACATGTCTGAACTACCTGACACAAAGTCTTGCCTGCCTTGCTTCTAAGGATCAGTCTGGCTGTACCTCTTCCAACATAGATTGATGATTTGTCCTTCTGGCAGTCCATGGTACTTCCACAAATCTTTGCCAGCGCCCTAATTCAAATGCATCAATTCTCCTCGGGCCTTCCTTATTCAGTGTCTAACTTTCTTTTTTCTTTTTAATCATTTTATTGGGGACTCTTATAGCTCTTATCACAATCCGTACATACATCATCGAACGTTCATATGCCTATGAGGCAAGTGAAAATACCTTGACTTGGGTAAGGTGAACCTTAGTCCTCAAGCAACATCCTGGCTTTTCAACACTTTAAAGAGATCTTGTGCAGCATATTTACCCCATGCAATGTGTTGTTTGATTTCTTGACTGTTTCCATGAGCATTGATTGTGGATCCATGCAAGACAAAATCTTTGAATCATTTCTCCATTTATCAGTAAAATACCTACTGGTTCACTTGTGAGGATTTTTCGTTTTCTTTACATGGAGTTGTCATCCACACTGAAGGCTTGATCTTCATCAGCAAGTGCTCCAAGTCCTCCACGCATTCAGCAAGGTTGTGTCACCTGCATATTGCAGGTTCTTAATAAGCCCTCCTCCAATTTTGATGCCGCATTCTTCTTCATATAATACAGCTTCTTGGATTATCTGTTCAGCATACAGATTGAACAATGGTGAGGGGTTACCACCCTGATGTACCTTTCCTGGTTTTAAACCACGTAGTACTCCCTTGTTCTGGCCATACAACTGCCTTTGATTCATGTGGGTCCACATGAGCACAGTGAAGTGCTCTGGGATTCACCCATTAAGAGACGCCCCTGAAGACAGCCCTGGTGAAGCTGCTTCCAAAAGATCCGAGCCTTGAATTGAGCAGTTGTATTGTGCACATGACAGGTTCATCATGAACGGAGATGAGCTGTTGATGGAAATAACACTTTTCTGCTTTTCTGTGAAATGGAGTTGGTTCCTATCTGGCACATCCTTTATTCTGGGACCTGTTTGTGATCATCGGATCTTACAAAAAATCAAATATATTTTGTTTCCATGATTCTGAACATCAGCTTTGGTGGTTTTTTTTTTTTTTTTTTGCTTTTCTAAGCTTCTTGATATTCATTGACACATGAAAAATAAAGTCTTTGTAAAACTGGAGAACAATGTTTGACAAAGTGCTCTTAGAGAGACTTCACTCTTTTATACTGATCTGTTTCTAGACTTTCATAAAAGGAGTCTTTAACAAGCTCAAACTTGTAAATATGGATGGGAGACAAAAGATGAAAGAAATGCCATTCCTGGTGAAATATAGGTCAGAGTATTCTCAGACTCCAAAACGTCTTGATAGTTTTATATGATCCAGTCCAGTTCCTGGGGGTATGGGGGAACCCCCCCAAAAAAACAAAAACAAAAAACCCTGCCAACAGGTAACAGGTCTTTGAAATCTTTTGAAGCCAAAGGCTCCCCACCAGCCAGCCCATTTCTTACTAAGTCCTCAGTCTCATTAAGAATGAGAAACAGATACCATGGCACCAATCTGTCTAGGAGAGCACAGGGAGACAAATGTAATTGCCTGTATGAGCAATATAAATCAGCAATCCCCAATCATTCGTATTTACACCCACTCCATTTTGGTTGTCTTTCCTTTATAATTTGGCCATACATTGATGTCAAGTGTATAATTTCTTCTGGGGCTTTATCAGGTACTGCCCAGAACCATGATTATATGTTGCGGGAAACATCCTTCTCCTGAGCAAGTCTATCTTTAGTATCTTCTTGATAACTACTTCTTAAGTGTAAAATAAAAAAGAAAGGCTTGGTTTTCTGGTGTGCTCCATGTAGAAGCAAATTATAAACTGAAACCACTGCAGTTTTAGCCCCGAGTATACCTTTTAAAAGGGAAGCAACCTTATTCCTTTTTATTTTCAAAATATCCTCTTTTTCTTTTATAAAGGGAACAAGCTTCCCTTTTCAAATGCCATTTTTATCAAATTGCAAGAGAAATTTTAGGATCTCCAACTTTGCCAACTAGTCGATTCCACCGTACAGTCACCCTATATGGGGACTCGGAGGCTGTAAATCGTTATAGGAGTGGCTAGCAGGATCTTCCTCCCAGAGAGCTGGTGGTGACTTGGAACCGCCGACCTTGTGGTTAGCGGTACAATGAGTACTCAGAGATGCCAACAGGGCTTCTTGGGTACTGCCAGACCATCCACTATGTTCTGTGCTATCTACACTAACTACAGAGGGGAAAGACTGGATGTCAGACAACTAGAACAATAGCAGCATTAAGATGTATGATTTCTGGAAAGTTAACTTTACAAACAAGCGGGGGAAAAAAAAAAGCTCTCCATGATAGGCTTTGAAAGATAATTGATTAGTCTGCGACGAAAAGTCACGCAATACACCCAGTAAGATGCTTTTTATTTTTGTGCTTTCATGTTAAAAATATATTTGAACAAGAAACAAAGATAATATTGAATTTTTCCATAAACTTTGCTTTACTATTTACAGTGGTACATGGTAAACAAGTTGCACACAACTTCAAGACAGCATTGCTGCCTGCCCTCTTCATACACGCTGCATAATAAAGTACGGACAGTGCAAGGCGAGGCAGTACAAACTTCATCAACAAGACGATTCTTTTTAAAGGGTTCGGACCTAATTCTCTGCTCGATTGTTTCACTGAAACCATTCTTTGTTACAGAAAAAATGCCCCACAAGAGGGATGAGAACAGTTTAAGCCACCACAGGATACACTTAAACTGGGTAGTAAATTTTAAAAAAAGTATTACATATTACTATATTAAATGGAGCACTTCCCACTGTCCACTCATTTAAACAAGCAGAGTGATTCTTCCTTTGAGACACATTGACGACTGTTGGTACCTCTTTATGAAATCAAAACTGTTTCCTGCAACTTCAGGGTTTAATTGTAAACAGTTAAAGCACATATTTCATAGACAATATAATATCGCTTTTGTTTTAATTTACACAATCAGGAGTGACTGTTTCATCAAGGTAGAAGCAAGTGTACATGCTCTGTGCAAACACACACTCACACACGCAATCGCGTCCAGCCGCCAAAGGCCCACACATGTCACTACAAGCTAGCTACAGCAGCACTTGTGCCTTGGTGGTGCACAACAATTGTAAAAGGAAGTGTAAAAGGAGAAAGTGGAAGCATCCAACTAGAGTCGGAAAGCTCAGGAAGCCTGGGTTCCAAGATGCCTCTCAGATGTTCCTGCTTGGTCCAAAGGGTCCATTCACTGGGTCTCGAGGCGGCAGACCCCACCTTCAATTGCAACAGACTGCCCTGCTACCGCACCAGGAGGGAGTCTTGAAATATGGGTCTGCGGAGAAGGAGACACAGAGTGTTAGATGTCCCATTGTCCCATCAAGGCGGAAACAAGTACCAGAGCCTTAGAACTTCTCTTTGCTTCTGAGTTTCCACAAGCCATGATGATGGTGATGTTTAGGTAAGGTGACCAGATTTTAACATTGGTAAAGTGGGACAAAAGGAGGACACCAATGATAAAACTCATATCCTGGCGAAATAGCCGCATGGCAGCCGAAAATGTATACCCTAGCATGTCGTGCATTCTTTCCAAAAACCGGGACTTTTTTTAAAACGCCGCGGGACGTGGGAAAAAATGTAAAAAATTGGGACTGTCCCACCCAAAGCGGGACGCCTGGTCACCTTATGTTTAGGTACCAACAGATCTATTACAGAGCATCTGCTACATGACAGGCACAGAACTAGCGACTGGAGATAGGCGGTGACAAGTTTGCCAGGGCCCCTGATAGTACAGGACTTAGATTACACGCAGATCAGTTATGTTTCAGAATCATTACAGTTATCTTAAAACCAACGAATCATATCTATTTTGACTACTAAATAGTCAGGAAAATTACAAATACTTGATACATATTTACACCCCCAATTTCTCCCTTCAAGGATTTAAGGAACTTAGAGCACTTCAGACAAACTTGTAATAGAAAGTAAATGAGACAATGAAAGACAAGGGGGAGAGCTAGTAAACTAAGGAAAAGAGCAGACAAGGTAAAACGCAAACTTTAGTCTAAAGAGCTTTGTGCGCTTGTTCAAGGCAGGCTACTGTCCTCTCTCCCATCTTCTTAGTGCTCATTATCAGATCCGTGGTTCATGTGGTTAGAGAACAAAAGCTAACCGCCTCCTTACACAAGAGCAACCGTCCCTGTACAGAAGCCAGACAACATTTTCCTTGTGTACCTTCTTAAAGAGAGTATAGTGCATAGAGAGAAAAAACACTAAAGATAGCAATTAAACAACAAAGGGTTTCATAGAACTGAGTGTTGCAGCATCACTCCGGGGAGGCACGGCCAAAAGCCTGAAGTCAGTCAGAGCTGTTCCACAAGAGGTCAGGATGACGTCAGTCAGGAATTCCTTTTCCTGATGGTCTGGCTGAATCCAGTGGTCGATAAGTATCAGGAGATTCTAAGAGGAATAGAGGGACTTCATAACCTTCAGGGAATCCTCTCAGCTTCTGTGTCTGTCAACAGGCATAGACTGTAGTGGGTTCAAGTCCCCAGAGAGAGGTCATCAGATGTGGCTGGTAAATTGCCACCCCTTTCTGGAACCAAATCTGAAGCAAGCCATGCTTTAGATGGACTCACACGAAATGAATTGTTTGCAGCTTGAAATGTGAAGCGATCATGTTCTCTCCATCCAATTTGTCAAGTCCAATTAGAATAGCGGACCTAAGTAAACAATTTGGAAAGTTTGGAGAGTACAAAGTGTTCTCTGGGTACTAGTTCCGTGTGTGTGTGTGTGTGTGTGTGTGTGTGTGTGTGTACAAGCCAGGAAATGGTCTGTAACATCAGGGATGAGGTCAGTTGACTTTGTATTGCCATCGCTCACTCACGTCTCAAAAATACTTGTAGGCTTATACCAGCGGTTCTCAACCAGTGGGTCGTGACCCCTTTAGGGGTTGAATGACCCTTTCACAGGCGTCGCTCCATTCATAAAAGTAGCAAAATTACAGTTATGAAGTAGCAATGAAAATAGTTTTATGGTTGGGCGGGGGTGGGGGGGGCTGGTGGTCACCACCACAGGATGAACTGTATTAAAGGGTTGTAGCTTTAGGAAGGTTGAGAATCAATGGCTTACACAAATTAAATTACAGTCAGGCCACTAGGAACCATGCCTTAGAATCTGGATTCACATTGTATCTGATGTCCAAGCATGCACCTATTTTATCTTAGAACCCATGGCTCCTTTGTCTCTTGTGATGCTTCCTCTACCTAGAGGGAGAAGTGAGAGGGTAAAGGGTATTGTTTGTTTCTGCGACCCAGAAGCCCTTGTCACATCTGGCACATAAAACCCAAATCCCTTCATTTAGTGAGTGAGGTGTTGACAGGGTCACTTTTTCTGACTAACTATTGATTTAATTAACTAGCACCAGGTGAAATGTAACTGCCCCCACCCCAGGTAGCCACTCATTTTTTAAAAGTTCTTCTTCAAGCAAAAAGTGATCCCTGAGAGAATAAAAATCCCGGATCTCACTCATCACCGGATCACCTAGAGATGGGATAATCTAAGACTCAATCCATGATGCAGATTCCAATATGAGATAAGATCCAGTTCACTTAATAAACAGGTTTGAATTTTCCAATCAGGACAGTTCAAAAGTGGCTCATAGGAAAAGCCAATAGCATAGTCTCCCAGAGATTTGGACAGAACACTAGGGGGACTCCTGGCAGTCCTAGTGGTATATGTACAGAGAATAAATTACTTTTAAAAAAGAAGAGTTATTTACTCTATCCAAGCAGATGGCCTGTACCATGACCAGAGGAATAGTGGTCTGAAAGTAACCTACTTCTTGTTAACAAAAGAAAAATACCTATAAATTGAAGGAAAGAAGAAATTGCTGGTTTATGACCCAAGGTTTGCAAGAATGCAGACAATCACTCCACATTTACCTGTATTATCAACAAATCCAATGCCCCAAATTTAGGATAGAACATATAAATAAACGCAGTAGAGCCACAAGGTATCAAAGAGGCAGAAGAGAAAAGAAAAGGAGATTGTATAGATAATGATGTTCTTGAGATACTTATTACCAGTACTTGGGCAAAATATGGAAACATACACGTTGTTGTTAGGTTCTGTTGAATCAGTATGACTCATTGTAACACTATGAACCACGGAACACAACACGGTTAGGTCATGCGCGGTCCTCACAATTATGATATTTTAGCCCATTTTTGCGGTCACTTTGTCAACTGATATCCTCCAGGTAATCCTCTGCACATAGGTTTATATGAGCTAAAATGTTTACACTAAACTGCAATGCTCACCTAGACAAACGAGTTAGTCAGTTGAACATCTCAGGAACCCCTCTTCCCTACCTGAAAATCTAACGAAGGAGAGGATTTGTTAACAAGACACAAAATGATCTGAGTGTTGCAAAGAATTATGTGGTTAGTCATCTAAAAGTCAACACTTCATCAGTTTCATCCATCAACATGATCTTCTGATTCATCAGAAAACAATGACCTTAGTCTGAGAATTGCCAGAGTCACGGTACATTTGAAACTTTTCTGTGGAAATTTTGGTGGGAACATGAAATCACGCTAATAAATAGATATTCTTAAAAGCAAATATATATATTTTTAAATCATTTTATTGGGGGCTCGTAAAACTCATCACGATCCATATATATACACCCATTGTGTCAAGCACATTTGCACATTTGTTGCCCTCATCATTCTCAAAACATTTGTTTTCTACTTGAGAAAAGCAAATATCGTATGTGGGTATTTATCTCCAAAAATTCTTCTAGAGAAATGGGTTTGAATTTAGCTTGAGCCTAAAAATAAACCGCTTAAATCATGAACTTTCATGTCAGAGCTTAACAATACAATAAAACAATACAATAAAGTCCTATGGACTGTGCAGATGCTAAAGTATCCTATGTCGTGACGAGCTTAACATTCTTTACTCCCTTCCACTGAGTAGGCTGCTACAGAACAGTGTAGAACTGCCCATGGGTTTCTGAGAAAGTCTCATTGTTCTCCCACACAGCCACTGGTAGGCTTGAACCACCAACCTTGTGGTGAGCAGTCCAACCTCTTAAAATACCATCCTACCTGAGTATCCTAAGAACTTAATAAGAGACCCTTTAAAACTACTTAAATAGTACAGATTAATCCTCCATGTATTTTCATTGCAATTTGACTAGTAAGTAATAACATGAAAACTGTATGTAAAGAAGCAATAGACTAATTAATTTAGGCTCCTCTCCTTCCACTTTGTGCCTTATGCCCCACTTTTCTGTCTTGATAGACATGCTTCCGAGCCTCTGATAATTTTTCTTGCCCTTTCTCAAAAGGATGTTCTTGACTGGAACCCCCACGCAGCCTAGAAGCTCTGCTGTAGGCTCACAACACACTCACTTGCATATTTCTGCTACTGGGATATAAATATTGTATTTGGTTTTTATTTTTATATTCCAGGTCCCTGTAATTGAAAGTCACTTGGAGGCAAGAACTTGTTTAACACACACCCTTCTGCACTCCCAAAGTGCTTAACCCAAAAGGCACACTCTGACAGTGTTCACAAGTGACATGATCTCCCGACAAAGGTTATATGCATATGGACTGTCAAGTATTTTCACTAGTGTGGCCAATCAATTTGGTAAACGGGTCCATCAAACTAGTTTGGCATATTCAAGATTCTTTCAAAACAGATTGAAAATATAGATATTAGACTTCCAATTAATCACTCACTGCCATGGGGTTGATTCCAATTCACAGAAACCTTATAGGACCGGGTAGAATGGCCCCAGTGGGCTTCTGAGGCTTTACGTTTTTATGGGAGAAGAAAGCTTCATCTTTCTCCCATGTCGAAGCTGGTGGTTTCCAACTGATGACCTCACGGTTGAACCACTGCACAATCAAGGCTTCTTTCCAATAACCTGGAAGCCCCCACACACTACAGAAAGCTTCTAAAACAAAAGCGGAAAAACCCAACACTGAAGTCAAGTCGGGTACTCAGAATATTAGAAGAAAAAGATAGGAGCTAAGTGGATTGCATTAAGCAAATAATGACACTTTCACATTCCTGACGTTTGAAGGGTGGACAGAAAAAGGGACAAAACAGGTACATCAACCACACCCAGAGAAGGCTAGAGTGGGAGCCTAACCAGCCCTGATTCCCCAGTGGTCCAAAGTACTCAGAGTGAGTACAAGCCCATACTCTTGCAAGTCGACTGGGGCTACAAAGTCCTTAATGGACATTTTACTTTTCTTTTGGCATCTCTTCACCAAAACTACAGGGCTGACAATCAGGTGGGGCTGGTTCAATCCTTCA